ACTTGGAACTAAATTTTAAAAATGAAGAATTGCTTTAGCTTTTCCTACTTATACTTCCATCTTGCTTATAAAACTGACCAATGTCTTTACTTCAGGCTTTTGCGCTTGAAAATACCTCCACATCAAAGACCAAGACCAAGCCTCTGATCTGGAGGGGGTGTTGACAGGGGCCACATATTGCCATTCCAGCAGCACCCTTCCTTCCAACAGTTTCTACAGCAAGGTCTTAAACTGCTCTACAGCTTCAAAAGAGAAAAAAGTTCAGTCAGCCCTGGTGTGCTCAACAAAGAGACTTTAAAACAAAATCCAGGAAGGAAACAGACAAGACCCGTGCAGTTCTGGCTTTTTATATCAGTTCTATATAAAGCCTTCGTACCCATTCAATTGAATATGCATGAATAATAAATAGCTAAATGCTATCTGGTGCAGTCTTTTCTTTTTGCCTTGCCATCTCTTAAGAGCATGAGTTTATCATAATCTGGAGCACTGCGATGTGCCTGGAGCTGCAAGGATTTAATAGTGCTTTTCAGGATGCGAACAAGCCTTCTGCACATTTTTATTCCCCTGCCAATGAGTATGACCAGGCGCAGGGTGAAACCAGGATTGTGGAGGCATCCTTCAGTGAGCTCTGTGCGGTCTCCACAGAAACCATCAACAGGCTGAGGGGGTGGCAGACCTCAAATGTTGAGATGAAGCTTCCCCCAGCTTCCTAAAAATAGGTTCTGTGAAAGACTGTTTCATCTAGGATGGAGGAACATCCAAGTTTCCCAGCCCAACCACATCCTTCCCAGTGACAGCGGTTTCCATGGTTATGACTGACAGCTCTGCACTAAGTAAGCATTCTGAGTAGGACTTTGAATTCCAGAATAGATTTGCTCACCTTTGACTATTTGCTGCACAGAGCTCTTCAAAACAAGCTGATCGAACAAATCATATCAGCTTTAAAAACCTATGTTGCAGGCTCTCGGGAGCGTGGATCTGTCGAAGGGAGAGCGAGCTCCGATACCCTTGAGATGCCTCTCCAGTTTCCATCACAACACTAATTGATAATGGGGAGGGCAGGGCTCTCACAAAAGGCACAGAAATTAACATGAACAGGGGGATGCTCTTCCCCCATAAAGGCCAGGAGATTTCAGAGATGGCAGAACTCAAATAGTTAAGACTGACTCGGTGAAGTTCAGTTACACCTGCAGAGCAATCCACGAGATGCACTGCAAATTAAGTCTGCAAATCTGGATTGCAGAGCTGCGGCATGACCTTCTTAGCAAACATACAAAAAAAAAATCTAAACAAAAAAGACAAAAGATGGGGGGGGGGGAAGGAGGAGGAAAAAATAAAAAATAAACAAAGCAAGAGGCCTCGCAAAGCAAAACTCAGGCCAACTACAAATTGTCTAAGTGCAGCTCCCTAGCGACACGGCAGGATGACATGATGACGGACCCCTTAATTCACAAGGGGCTGGCGCTGAGCCCCTCCTTTCCTCGGTGGTTCAGATACCTGAGCAAACTCCTAAGGCAGGAGCGCTGGATTCTATTCACTCTCAGCTTTCTTTGCCCCCTCTCTCTTCCTAAGAGAGACGGGGCCGGGGATGGGGGGGGGGAGAAAAGGCACAGCCGAAAGCCCGTTCAGGTGCGAGGAGAAAGCAGCTTATCAGGAATTTGCAGCCTCAGTCCCTCCATTCACAGAGCACAGCGGGGCTTTAAGGAAAGAGCGCCGAGACGTTCTGAGCCCTCAGCTCTTTTCCCCTCTTAACCCACACCAATCCCAAATGCGCTTCGTCAACACACGCTAACCGACGAGCCACTCTGCAGCGGCCCTACCTTATACAGCCACCCCCCAGCCCACACTCGAACCGCCTCCGGCAGCGGTCCCGGAGTCCTGCACACAGGCCGGCCCAGCCGCACTAGAGAGGAGCTGCATCTTCCCATACCGAAAACCAGGACAGGAGGGTAAGAGGGAAGGAAACGTATTTTAGAAATGCTGGAAGCCCCCGAAGCAGATGAACAGAAGGAGGAGGAGGAGGAGGAGGAGGAGGAGAGAGCCCGCCCCCGAGTCCGTGTGCGGCGAGGGCCCTGGTTAGTGGGACGCGTGTTTTCGGATGTTCACGATCAGTCGTTTGCAGTATTCTTTGTGATCCACTGGTTTAACATCCATCACGGTCGCTTTGATACGAGACTCGTCCTGTTTCGGGGGGAGGGAAAAAAAAAAAAACCACAGCATGAAGGGAGCTAAATCGACAAGAGACATTCAGAACACTTTACCCGGAGTCGGAAAGGGAATTTCGCAAAAGGTCAATTTATTGACCTCATTCTTGTATGATGAATGTGTCTTTTCACATACCCCAGCTTGCTCTCCATGAGACACACAGACAGGGAGAGAAGCTGGGGGTCAGAGCGCAGGGTCAGCCATTTATACAGCACCCCTGGAGCAGCTGGTGTGAAGGGCCACAGAGCCACCATACTGCCCACAAGGAATCACACCCTTCAGAACCACATAGCCCAATCCCTGCAGGAAAACAGCATCCGCGCTTCGGTTAAACCCCAAGGAAGGGAACAACCCGTCTGCGGCAATAGACACGTGCTTAAAAAAGTGGGAAAGTTCTGAAATCACAGTCGCCAGTCTTTCCTGGAAATAACAGAATCAAGACCCATTGCTCTGCCATCCCACACCCCCCACTCTCCGGGTATATGTTTTGCTCCTCTTCCCGGACCCCCCCCCAATCGAGACCTGACGGAGAGAGAGCACAGGGCGCCCCACCACCACCAGGGGGACCGAGTTCTCCTCGCTCAGCCCAGCTGATCCCAGCTCAGCGCCAGCAGGGCATTAGTCATCTCTCATGCAACACGCGGACACCAGAAAGCATGAGCTACCTTGCCAGCAACACGCAGGAAAAGAACAGTAAACAATTGTTTAAAATACAGCTATTACAAAAGCAGAACACCTAAATCAATTTAAAAAAAAACCCTGACTGGACCCCCAGGATGGTGCGGAATCAGGGCAGTGGGACTCTGGTCAGTGCTTTAGCATGTGTACAGCCTCTTATCTCGTATCTCAGCACTCTGCGCAAGCACTCACCTGAGGACAGTCTCCCTCGGCACCAGTTCATGCAGATCAGAGATCAGACACTCGCTATAGAGCTGGTTTTTTAAAACTTTCAAACGGCTGCATGAATAATAGGTGAGGGGGTGCCTCCAACTGGGTTAAGAGATGCCTAGCCAGCCTCTGCAGGAAGCTGTCAGTCAGCAGAGCTGCAGCACATGGCACAGAGATGTGGACAGATTAAAAACAGATTCATCTGAGGCTGGTCTGGTCCTTCTAAATTGCTTTCTCCACCTCCCCCAACCCAGAATGGGAAATTCTACAAATGGGGGATCCCCTGACCCTCCGTACTGCTCCAAAACAGGACATGCATCTGAATAAAGACGTTTTCTCTAGTTAGCAGACAAATCAGATTCAATCATAAAATTAAATGCTAATGAATACACGTGGTTTTCTTTCCAAAAAAGAAATCACAGCCGATTTCTCAGAAATCCAAGACAAGCCAGATAATTTTAGACCTCAGGTCGCCAGTTGGTCAGAAGTCGTGGCTATGGGGATACTCCAACAGAGAGAATACAGCCCCAAGCTCATTCAGATTTGTTTACAAAAGAGGGAATCCCACTTTCATTATCAGGGAACCCGGTAATTTCTCCATGCTGGATGTCGGTTCATCAAAAAATCATCAACGACCAAGATAAAGACATAATCCATTTCCCCAGGGCCCAGTGAAGCACAGAGCCACAACAACCTAACCCACAGGGAAGTGCTGCACTCTGATGCTCACTTACTGCTCCTATTCACTATAAATGCAAATGACTGCAAATTAACCCTCCCCCTTCACCACCAACTAAACATACAGAGCTGTAATGTCTAAAAAAAAAAAAAACACCTCTATCACAAAGGGCATGGCACCACCTCAAATACTACCATTTTCCCTTAGAAAAAGGGCATGGATTTTGAGTTTCAATTTCTGCGAGTGTCCCTCAAAACCCTAATAACGCCTACGCTGGAGGTGAGAGTGCGACCGAGAGACGGCATTAGGCTATTTATTAGAATTTCGATATCCTCTCCGGCTGTTACACTCGGCTTTAAAGTGGTCCTCAATCTTCGAACCAACACAGCAGCGATTTTCTAAAGGGCTCACCTTTTCATTTTGACATCTGGACAGCAAACTGATGTATAGAGAGCAAACGCCCAAGAGACCGAAATGAAAAGAACTGCAAGGGAAGCCCTTGCCCAGGCTGGTAAATTATATAGGCTTAAAAGATACTCTATTTGAAAAATGCACACGATTTGTGCAGCCCTCGAGTATTTGTGTTGACAACTACTAAGTTATTACCTCTACTGGAATCAATTACAGGTTATGCTTTACAGTATATACAATTTAATGAGAAAGGAACTTTTCACTGTAGCGCTATCAAAATTGGACTTAGGCAATTTGCTACGCCTTCTGTGCAGAATTAAAGACTTTTCAATCATCAAAAGAGACAATATGAAAATAAGTGTCTGACGAAAGCTGGCAGGAGCTGCTCTTGGTGTGTACGTGACACAGCTAATGAATTCTTAATGGGGGGAAAGCTGGAGCTGCGAATGTGTCTCCAACACTCCTGCAAAAGGAAATTAAAGCCTAAGAGCTGTCCAAGGGCTTTGAGCGATTTAGTGTCGGCTGTGTGGTGCGAGTGACATTTATACAAGCCTGTGGTCCCTCCAACAATTTACATGTGTGCACGTGTTTAATTTCCCCTCGGGCTCAACATCAAGCTTTCCTAAAAATCATTTCCTCTCATGCAAAACGTCCACCGCACTGGTGCACAGGTCGTTTTGTTTTTTCAAAAACCCAGGAATTTGCACCCATGCAAAAACAAAGCACGCGGAGCAAAACACTCCACAAAATCGGGGAAAAAACGGCCAATAACGAGCAAAAACGAAGACGCTCTCCAGCTACAGCAGAGAGCCGCAAGTCTCGCTGGGGTTTTGCGTGGCGGGAGTTGCGTGTGTCTTGGGAAGCAGCTGTGCCGCGCACACAGGCTGAGGGTATTTCCGCAGAGCAGGATTTACTCCGCAGCACAGCAGAAAGGACTCTCTCCACAATGGATCCCACACCGGGTGTTCAAAGGCCTTGAGGACATTTTTTCCCCACAAACAGCAGAAATACTGAATCTACCAAACAGCTGTATAAAAGCAGCATCTTAAAAGGCCCTTTTTACTACGCTGTGATACAGTTTCAAAATCCCTTCAACGGCACAGATGGAAGAAGCGGTTGACCAAGAAGGCCCCCCACTCCCATCTTTTATCATTTATACATTACTGCACTGGCGCCACAATGAACTGTGACAAAGTTCGTCAGCGATTAGTGTTGGTTGTATCTTCCAGAAAGAGAGGATTTGCGTAGGCAAGCGTAGTAAATCAGCAGCCGTTTGCTATGCAAATCCAGGCAATCCAAGCCTTCAAAACTTGAAAGCCTGAAATGGTTTTATGTCCAGTTCGCTTTCAGAAATTTCACTCCGGCATGTCACACACTGGGAGAGCCCGACATGACAAGTCCCTGCCAACTCTGGGAGATCACACTTGGGGGTCAGGGTGCTGCGTAGACTTAACCCCTTCAGCGTCCGGCTTTCCGAATGCTTCCCATTGCCAGGGAACTGTCCCTGGATTTTCCCCAACATTCCCAGGGCATGTTCTGCTGGAACCAATCTCCTTTCCACTCTCATGTGGGAGGCAGACCTCACAGTAATTACTAAGCATCAAGTCTCAGTTTCAGATTTTTAAGACCCAGCCTAACACTGCCTCAGCAAGGCCATTAAAATTTGACAAGGAAAAAGAGCCTTCTCTCCTAAGACAGGAATATAAATATTTCCTTCACTACAAGTACACAGAACATGGTTTAAATTCAGCCAAGCAGCCACACAGCAATTGTTATAAACTGACCACTTATAGTAGGTTTAATGGTAAAACTTCTTTTTAATTTCAGTTAACAAAAAAAGCTTGGTGTCCCTAATGGCACCCCTCCTCTCCACCACTATGCACTAACAAAGCCACAGCCAAAACTAGACCATGGAGCTCCACTGCTTAATCACTGTGCCTGATGGGCAGCAAGCTGACCTGCAGTGCACAGTGCCTCTGGAACGAGTTAAAAACTAAATGTACTCACGTTGTACGTTTCCAGTTTGATGCGATTCCGGAAGGTGTAAGTTCTGAAGTTGGCATTTTGGAACACCTCTTCGTATGCCTGTTCATTCTGTGAACAAGTCAAGAGAAGGAACAAGTCACTCTGCATTGTTAACGGGGTGCATGATCAACTGCTCCTATTGCGCTGTTCTCATCTGTGGGTGTAAAAACACTGACTGGAACAGGAAATACAGGACCAGAGAAGCCAGCTGGCTTGAGGGGAAAAAAAACCCAAAACAAACACTTTCATGCATCTTTGCCAAAAATCACACAAAAATGTCTGTCACGTTATAAACGAATGCATGCACAAGAAAGTTACTAAAACTTCTAAAGATTTCAAAATAAAAATGGCAACGGGACACAAAAAATAATGCAGCAGTCATTGTAGGAAAACCGCAGCACCTCGTTGATCAGGACAACAACCAGTCCCGGTCACTGCATCTCATCTCCTCTCACCCACAGCTTCACTGGCATGGAGGCTAGGCTGAACGAAACTAGGTTTTTAAAGCTGGGGGCTGAAGACGGGGCATTTAATCGCACCACTGCTGAAACAGCACCTGGGACCATTTCGGGTTTTAAGAGCAGGAACCGCTTGGAAATAATCCAACACAAAAGAGGTGAAAACTCCCAAGTGTTCTAATTTACCTCCTGCAAAACTGCACAGGGAAAGGAGTGGAGACATTGCATGTGCCACACAGATCAGAAAAGGAGGACAAAGTGCTACATGAACATTTTAAACCACTAAATGGATTAAAGTGCTGTGGAATGGGAAACTGTTTGCTGCCCTGGGACTCCACGCAGGAATGGATCTTACGGAATCTCGGAGCTCTCCCAGGTAGGCCGCGTTCTGTCCCAGAATGGCTTCTGCAGTTTCCTGGAAACAAGTCACCCACTGGTTATCCCCGAAGTCCGCAATGTTGGCCTGCAAGAGCAGGGAGAACAGAACGCCTGTAAATTCAGAAACGTCTGGATAACAATAGATAGCCAGATAGGTAATTAATCTGACACTTCCCCTATAAACAAAAACCTGGACTACAAACCTTGATCATCCACCTTGAGTCCTGACTTGGTTTCAACTCTTTTTCTTGGCCGCCATAAAAGTTCAATTGCTAACAGTTCCCTGAATCAATCTAGAATCGCCAGTTGAGTCTTGACTCCCGGCTCACAGTGCTAACATGTGTACCCCAGCTAGGGGAGCAGGGGGTGCACGCAGTTTCCTCCATGGCATCATCAGTCTGGAGTGAAACGCAGGGGGGCTGGTGCCGTGCCGAGAGGAGACCTCAGCGTGACCCGGTGAGCACCATGTGCAGGGATCTCACCTTTTGACCACTGAGCTCATTCCTTAAGTGACATTCACTGGTTTGGCCATTCAGCATTATAAGTAAAAACATCAAGTCCCTAAGAAGCATCAGATCTTCCAAACAAAGTAATGCAGAGGGTTAATCACAGACTCTCACAGCACCGGCAGATAAATGCACATCTTGTATACAGTAAAACAATGTGCTTACTGGCAAGAGCACAGAATAAAAGTCAATTTAATGTAGATTCTTGGCTGTGACGACAGGTTTGTTATCCAAATGGGTTCATTTTAATGCTGCTGCTTAAAAAAAAAAACTGTCCACATGCCAATGTGGCATCATAAGAAATTTACAATCTGTAGACAGAAATACAACTGCTACCATACGAGCCTACTTATTAAAGGGCAGGGAAAGCATATTTTTAAACAAACATGCCAAAAGAGGAAGGGTTAGAGAGAAATGCTGGGGCCACTCACTAAATCCATCTCCTAGAAAAGTACGTGCCTTGCAGGATCACGCAAAATATCCATTTTGCGTCCATCTGTTCCCTAACCATTTCTTCCGATTCAAGGACATGGGGGAGCCGGAGTATCCCAGAAAGCAACGGGACACCAGTCCATCATAAGGCGCACAGACACAAACACACACACACTCACACCAGGGCCAGTCTTTTTCTGGAAGCCAAATCAACCTACAAGTATGTTTTAGGACTGTGGGAGGAAACCAGAGAACCTGGAGGAAACCCACAAGAACTTGGGGTGAACATACAAACTCCACGCAGATGGCGCCCCAGGTCTGGGATTCGCACAATCCTGCTGCTGTCCACTCTACATACCATCTCAAGTTCTTTCTCAGAAGCTGTTGCCTTCTTTTTAAAAGGTCAACAGCCTTTCAAAAGAACTGTAAATAAACTCATCAACACTACAGTGTGATTTAATTCCATCGGGGCCCCTGAACTCCCATCAGCCCACACCGCCCCAGGAAACCTGCAGAGGCTCGAGACAGAAGATCAAGGAGGCGCACTCACAGACAGGATGAGGCGGTACTTGAAGTTGGGAAACTCGCGGTCGCACTTCTCGCAGCGGAACAGCCCGTTCTGCTGGTCTATCACCTTCTTGTTGCAGTCCTGGGTGGGGCAGGCCTGGTACAAGCATTTCTCCTTGCTCAGGAACGCAACAGTGGCCACGCAGCTGTAGTAATCGGCCTGCCAGACACCAGAGACACGCATCAGAACCAGCTGGGGGGGGGGGGTGGAGGGAGGCCAGGGATTGAGGTCAAGGGGTCCCCGGTTCAATCCCCCAGCCACTTCACAAGAGAGCATAGGGAACCACCCTGTAGGTCAGTCCTGCAGAGGCAATGTCAAGCACCTGCTGAAGCAACTCTGCAGAACAGCAGCAGATGCGGTCCTCACCTCATCGCTCCTGCCAGACTCTGTGGGTAAAACCATATTGGGCGAAAGCAATACCTTGCATTTACACAGCATGACATCAACAGATCCTTAGAGCACATGACAACAATTAACAGTTCCCCTGCCACATTAAAAAAAAAAGCAGCACACCCAAGGAACCTCAATTCACCAGCTGTCCTTGACCACAAAATAGTAAAATCACCTTTAGGCCCTGTGCAATAGCCCACAACCAAAACCCCCAGTTTTTGCATTTGCTTCACTTAATGCAACAAAGCCTCCCTGTGCTTATTTTTAAAAAAGGGACCCGAGAAACTGAAAGACGATGCACCCTATACAGTTCAAGGAGTGCACTGCACAAACTAGGAACTTGTTAGTAACCAGCTTAATTCTGAAGTTTTAGTTAAATATGCATCGGAAACTCAATTGACTTATTTCCCCAGACACGACCTCTCAGAATGCAGGGATCGCTGTGGAGAGAAAGAGGGAGGGAAGGGAGTCTTCACAATCTTCAACAAGAGCAAACAATGCACTGGACAGTTGCCAGCTGCCCTCATACTGTGCTCTGGTTTTGATAAACCTTTTCATTTCCAGCTGTTTGTAATCAGACTAAGCAGCATTACTCACACTAGCACGCTGAGATTTTCTGCATAGGTGCCTACCAGTGCACCAAGATTACCTACCAAATCAAATGTAATTAAATTAAACTTTATAATCTGAGTCAAGTAAACACCACGGGGCTAACAAACTATAAGACAAACAGAAGATATTTTCATTTTTATATTTAACTTAAAATGCCTGATTCCACTATAAAAAACAAGGGAGGAGTTCTCTCTCCTAGATAATTGAGTATTTTACATGCAAAACCCATCTTTTTATTTCCACAATACAGACAGGGGCCTGAGGCAAAGTCTTAACCTCTCATCTTCTAAGGATACGAAGAGCCGTTCCCATTTATTGAATTTTGTAGTGTCCATTCCACCAGTGGAGTTAAGAAAATTGTCCTCAATTAAATTTTAATTGAGGTCAAATCTATACTCCCTGTTTATATTTGATTGGGTCAGGAAGAAAACTGTAGGTTTAAAACCTTGTCATCATGTCTTGTTTCCAACAAAAAAAAAAACGCTCATTGTTTCAATTCTCAGATCTGCGTTTTCTTTTTACTTCTCTGCACTATGGCCCTTATTCTTCCTTCCTTTCCAATCAGAAGCATGGAAAATGGAGCATTACCATAACAATAAGGGCCCCCCTCAACAGAACCGCATTTGCATTTGAACTGTTCAAGACAGCCTGCAACACGGGCACCCAGAAATAGCACGAGATGGACCCCAAAGCCAGCGTTGATAAGGGAAACGGAGGGAGTGATGGGCTGAATGCATTAGTCATCTAAACAGCTCGCAGGCTGCAGTGCTTTTGCCTCTAATGACTTGGATTTAGCAGGTACAGACTGTCCCCGCTTTCCGCCTCTGTTGCATTCCTGAAAACACTCAGGAACAGCGAAGAATGGAGCGGGAATTTTTGGTGCGTGTGCCATTTCTCATGGACATTCTTCCCTCGCTCTCGAATGCTTGATCTCACCTCTAATAACACTTTTGCACTGCTCTTTTCCTCTCCCAATCAGTCTTTTCGCTAAAGGCGCAGGCGGCTCCCATTATGGCCGGTTCGCACAGAAATATGTTAGAATGTGAAGTAAAATCTGCCCACCTGACACATAAGGCAGACCCTTGCTCAGCAAAACTGAAACTAATAACATAAAAAAAAACTAGAGAATTTCACAAGGTAACAGTCTTACAACACTAAAAAACACAATCAATGAATAAGGGAGACATCGAAGAGTGAGACCGCTACCTATCGGTACCCAAACCCCCCACCTCCTGAGAAATGCTTTGCTCTGCAGTTAGAAAGTAGAACAGTTTGAGGGCACCAACACACAACATAGTAGGAAAATAATGAGTAGCAGGGAGAGGAGCGGTTGGTACGTCTGTATAGCAGGAAGGATCGTGTGTTCTAAAACGGGATATGTAGATCTCTAAAACCACCATGCTCAAGATCCACACCCTCTGGAGTCTGAAATTACAGCCACATGTGAAGGGGAACAGCTCAGATGGAGGTGCACTTCATTACCTATTATACAAAGTTTCACCCTAGCTATGAAGAGCACCAAGTGCCTGGATTTTTGCTCTTAATAATATTGTTCATATATATATACAGACCGTACAGAACAGGGCCCTGTCACACAAGATGACAGTAATGAACAAACAGCAGAGACACGGATACCAAGCCCTCTCCTCCTAAACAAAACCGATTCTCCAGAGAGAACCGAGTCTTTAAATGGGAGACGCAGCGTGACCCCAGTATGATGAAATAAGCCCCCCCCCCCCCAAACACTCTGGATTAGAGGCGCCACTGCCTGAAAAGCATGGAAATCAAGACCAGTTTAAACATTAATTATTTCCAACTCCTGTGAATCAGGAGGCAGTAGTAGAGTTGTGATTTATTAGTCATGACGAGGAGCTCTAAAGCTTACTCCTGTTTTTTACACTGTGCCCTATTTTTCAAATTAGACGCACAGTTTGTGCTTTTTGACTCCGTTTCACCCGATTGGTTCTCGGCGTCTCTTCTCACACCTCAGAACGCAGCGCTTCTCTGATTCCCGAGCTATTTGTCGCCCTGGGCTTCCAGCCCTTCACATAATTCAAATTAAAAAGAAGATCCAATTCTCATCTTCCCTGGGTTTTATAACCTAACACAAGAAAAGCTGTGCAATGGGAATAAATTAAAGCCGTAATCTGAACAGGGGGAAAAAAAAACCTCTATCCAGCTCAGATGAGCATGAAAAGCACAGAGACTTCAATGCACTGCTTCAGCAGGAACACAGCCGAGCACAATCAGTAATTACGTTGTGCAGCAAATCGCTAGCTTGCAGAAGCAGAGGTTCTCTAATACTACTGATCAATTACCAATAAACAAGACCCCTGTCCCTTGCCCTTTCACAATCTCACAGCATCAGAAACCAAACCTCCAAGGTCCAGATGTCTCGTCTGAAACACCAGGCAGGCCGAGACATTTCAGAGCCTCTGCACTGAAAACAGCCTCTTGGAAGCCAAGGCTTTAAGCACAGCTATGAAATGCTTTAACAAGTCCTTTCTCATAATAACAAGGGAAATACGCACAACGGCCATTTATTAGTAACGCTTGGTTAACCATCTTGAGTGCAAAATGTTTGGCCAGAACATTTTAACCGGCTCATCGCACGTGGACACGAGATGCACAACACGGGACACATGTGCCCAGCTGAAGTACTTGATGTGCGAAATAATGATAAAAGCAGGACCACCAGCTGCTTCGGTTTTTCAGGTGCATTTAAAAACCGTTAGCTGCTGCACCACCTCAAGGCCCAACACCATACTCTTTCCTTCAACAGATGGTAAGCCTTGGATGCACCCCTCAGCAGGAGCAGGCCGCGTTCCCCCGCAGCAGCGGCGGCGGCAGTGAGCTGGCCGGGGTGCGACGCCAGCCTGCAGGCCCTCACCTTCTCCCCGTGACCCAGGTTCTCCTCCTTCACCTCCTGCAGGGTCTTCCAGCTCGAGCTGCTGCCCGCCGAGGAGCCGCCCTTCATCTCGGACACCGACTGGCCGTCCATCGCATGGCCCTCCTCATCAAACCTGGGGAGGGGAGAGAGAGACGGACAGGGCTCGTCGGCAAAGAGGAGGCCTGCAATTCCCTCGCTGTCCGA